TCTTCTTCTTCTTCTTCTTCTTCTTCTTCTTCTTCTTCTTCTTCTTCTTCTTCTTCTTCTTCTTCTTCTTCTTCTTCTTCTTCTTCTTCTTCTTCCATCAGAGGATGTGAAGTTTTGCTGCAAACAGTTCTTTCTTTCGTGCTGCAAGGAATTCGCAATGAATGTTAGCGGCGTATATTGGACTGGTTTTCTAACGCTCACGAAAAGACTTAATGGTCTTTGTCCCAGTTCAATAAGAGGGGCTGAAAATGTGTTAGCTTGTCATATTTTTTAACAGACTCAGTGTCTTCAGCTAAATGCTGTTTATTCCTGCACAACAGAGAGTGCTTGTAGGTCCAGTGACAGCTGTTAGTCACTGCTCTAATGTGGTGTGATGGAGCACGGTTGGTGAAATGGAGCATAGTAACACAAGAAATGTCACATTGGATCAGACCACTGGTCCATCTAAGGTCTGTGCTCTCTCAGAGGAAAGGTTCTTCCCGAACACGCTCCTAAAGTAATGGGGTGGATCCAACCAGCTTTTCTACTCAATCTCAACCAACTCCCCTCCTTTCTAAGCCCCTGTCCTGTATGGCTGTTACCCACACAGGTCACATGACCCCTCAGGATAACTTTTCTAGGGGGGCCTGCCTCTCTTTTTCATCAGCAGAAAAGCTGGTCGGATCCAACCCAGTAATTGGTTTAGGAGGAGTAGCAGTAGCAGTAGCAGTAGCAGTAGCAGTAGTAGTAGTAGTAGTAGTAGTAGTAGTAGTACCACCTCCTTTATTATGGTCATAAAAAGGTAAAGGTAAAGGTTCCCTTGATCGAAAGCCAGTCGAATCCGACTCTAGGGTTGCGATGCTCATTTCTGTTTCAAAGCCGAAGAGCCAGCGCTGTCCGAAGACGTTTCCGTGGTCATGTGGCCAGCGTGACTAAACACCAAGGTGCACGGAACGCTGTTACCTTCCCACTGAAGTGGTCCCTATTTATCTACTTGCAATGTCTTGCTTTCGAACTGCTAGGTTGGCAGGAGTTGGAAGTAGAGACGGGAGCTCACTCCATCATGCGGCACCCGGGTCTTGAACTGCTGAACTACCAACCTTCCACAGCCTGCAGTTCAGCGTCTTAACCACTTGAGCCACCGCAGCTTCCATTATGGTCACAGACCAGTATAAACACATGGCAAGATATTGCACTTACATAAATTTCAATTAAAAATACGATACAAATCTACATAAAAAGTTAAAATAATTTATGTACAAAGAGGCAATTTTGGATTAATAAATGTCATAATTGTAACAATATTATCTTATATAATTAATATACTATTTATGCAAGATCAGTTTATATCGCAGGGCTACCTTTGGGCAGGAACGCACAGGGACGGAGTTCCGGCTGGCTTCAGAGCTAGCCACGCCCACTACAGCCAAAACCTCTGAGTGTGTGGCTACGGAGGGAAGGCCTGGAGAGCGACCCTCCCAGTGACTCCAAGGCAGGTGGGCCGGGGGGGGGCTGGAAGGATCGGGGAGGCATTTAAATGCCTCCTCGTACCTTCCCCAGCTTGTCCAAGGGCTGGCTTGATCGGGCTCCCTGCAGTCGTGGGGCACCCAGGCAAGCCAAGGGAAGGCATGGGGTGTGGCCTAATATGCTAATGCGCTGTGATGTCAGGGTGTGGCCTAATATGCTAATGGGTTCCTGCTGTTGGGTGTGGCCTGTTATGCTAATGAGTTCCTGCTGGGCTTTTTCTACCAAAAAAGCCCTAAGTTAAAAAACCGTCACCACTATACATTGCTACTCTTCATTGTTGTTTAAGATATTCTGTTCCCCCCATCTCCTCCCCCACCCCCAGCTCTGGCATTTAGGCCCAAGCGGCTT